CTTAAACTGTGGGTGGCTCTTAATGTTTACAACTAGCTGTCACCCGCGACTTCTACGCGAGGAACAATTAAAAAAAACGCCCAATTATCCCATGTGATGTACCTGACTATGTTCTACATGTATGCCAAATTTCAGTGAGATCCATTGTGCCGTTCTGGAGATAAGTAGTGACAAATATCCATTCACCCATCCTCTTAAACATTGTTCTAGTAAGATATGCAAATGCATATCTTACTAGACTAGTATACTCGTGAACTGTGTTACATATTTATGTACTCGTATGTATGTTCTGAGTTAGGTTGTAACGTATGGTATACCTTTACTTGAAAATAGCTATTGTCGTTGGCTTACTCACTTCAGGAGTAGGATTCATTCTCGTTCCGTTCCGATCAGTGGGGTAGCATATTTATGGATATATGTATAAACTCATACATATAAATATGCTCCTACTGCACATCGTACACAGGTAGTGTATTTGTAGAATCGCAGTATGAAGTAAATATAACCATAACTAAAGGAAATTATTAAAAATAAGGTTTCTAAGGTTTAGACAAAAATCTTTTGGTTACTTGAACTTCAGCATCCATGAGATTTCCAGGGTCGTATCTGCGCAGCGCGGCGAGGGCGTCGTGCGGGAGCGGCGCGCGCAGGCGCAGCTCGTCCCGCGACCGCACCAGCCCCACATCGTTGTGCAGCACCGTCACGTCCATGCCGTACCCCTCGTCCTCCTGCACCACGCGGTACCTGCACACGTCGGTGTGTCCACATGTGCGATATTCTCTCTTTTACATACTATTGTCGTCATTTCTAGCATCGTAATAACGTTCGATACGAGAACAATACAGAAAATAAAAAGCATGTGTTTAAATATGGGCGCAAACTAGAATGTAAAAGAGACACAACTGACTCCGGGTGGCGGTAAAGGTAGTGGACGGCAGAGACATCGCCCTCCTCCGTCGCTGGGCGGCGCGTGTTGTACTTTACGTAGGCGACGAGCGGCGAGATGCAGTGCGCCGCGGTGAGCGCCCAATGCGACGCCAGAGCGGCCGCCGAGCACCGCGTCGCGAAGTAGCGGTCCAGCAGTGCGCACGCCGTCGGGAACTCACTGAGCTGCGCCGCGGCACCGCCGAACACACGCCGCGCGCCGCCTGCGCCGCCCGCCCCGCCGCCTGTGCCACGCACCACTTCACGAAAAAACCCGTATGTTGTTTTGTTGCCTGAAACGCGCCTCGCGTTCGCCGCGCTCGCGTCGCCCGACACGCATAGCACAACCAGCAGCATTGACAAATTTATCATTCTTTTAAATTATTTTAATACATTACTCTGACAGCTTACGTCATAATTTGTCATAATTAGCATCTGCCAATATTGTTACATAGATGAAAACTTATCAAGAAATGAAATCTTGTTTAAAGTGAAAGAAATAATCATCATCATACACTTGTAGTTAAAAAATAGACAGATCAGGCGACATGGCGTAATGCACGACATTGCATGAAAGAGTTGTACAACAGTGGGCTTTTATTTTTCTCAAGTAAAATAAAAAAAAATACATGTGGGAAAGGGATAAACAACAAGGTGCCATCATTATGGAAACATTATAATTTGTCTAAATAAGTTATTAGATTAGTTTGACAGTTCACTTAAAATTTAGTAGGTTGTGTAAAATCAGTCATGAATCTTTTTTTTTATTGTTGGCGTCGTTTTTGCCACGCACTAACAGATGGCGCTGTGGCGAGACCGTGTTGTATTAACACACGATGTTGAGAAGAATGTCTCGCCACACATATACTTTCCGGGTCCCCGAGACTCTTTGGTGTTTTGGTAGTAGTTCTCTCCGTTTTCATTGTTGTTGGTGTTTTGTACTTTTCGTTCGTTCGTTTACTTGTTCAATTTTTGAACAAAGTTTTGTAGGATACAAACAAATGGTCCTTCGGCAGCCAAATTGTATCGGTCTGAGTGTATTGCGCTGGACTTAAATATTCTGAGCAGGTTAATTTAGAATTTGTTATTGTTATTATATTTGTCTACCCTCTTAGTTTTGTTTTAATGTATCTTATTTTAAAATGGCCAGCAGTGCCCAAGAGGCGCGCCCAGGGTGGGTGCCTGAGCGCGACCTTCCCACTAGACCGGCGTCGCAGGACATGCCAGCCGGTTGGCCGACCGGCGTGACCTGCCACGCTAAGCCGGCCATGGTTCCTCTTGGCTTCACCGCGGTCCGGAGACCCTCGACGTACCGCGGCTACTGAGCCCCACCGCCACGACAAGGCGGGAACCGTTGGTGGTGAGAAACAATTGCCCTAGCAGATCCCACATTTAGTCTACCAAAAAATATAGAAATCTTGCTTGGGGCCGAAGTATACGCAAAAATTATAGATGATGGTCTATTGAGAAGCTCGGTAGGGATGATTGCACAAAAAACTCACTTAGGTTGGATTCTGTCAGGAAAAATGTCAAAAAAACAAGGTAAAAACAAAAGGGCAACAAGAAACACAAAGGAAAACAGTCCCACGGGCGCTGGAAAAATTAATGGAGTAGCTGACAATCGACGAAGTTTTAAATTTAATACACCATGTTGTATTAACACACGATGTTGAGAAGAATGTCTCGCCACACATATACTTTCCGGGTCCCCGAGACTCTTTGGTGTTTTGGTAGTAGTTCTCTCCGTTTTCATTGTTGTTGGTGTTTTGTACTTTTCGTTCGTTCGTTTATTTATTCAATTTTTGAACAAAGTTTTGTAGGATACAAACATTTATAACATAAGGTAGCAAACGAGCAAGCGGTCACCTGAATTCACCGAAATGAAAAGCGACCGCTGCCCATAAACATCCGCAGTTGCAGATGTGTTGCCTACCCTTAATTGACGGAGGAGGAGATGCACATAAAAAGGACATTTCCCTTTCCTATGCGTGTCCTCCAGCATCAAATCCACTTTTCCTTTCCATCCTTTCCTCTTAAGAAAAGGTTGTAAAGGGAAAGGGACTAAAATTGGGCCTCGGGCACCAAACTCATCAGACGAAATGCGGAATTGCTTTCACGCCTGTCTTCTGAGTGGTCGTGGTATTCCACCGGGCGAGCCGGCCCATTCATCAAAGACGTGATAAGCGATATGCGTTATGCACTATGCGCTGTGCGCTATTTTCATA